ACTTATAAAACAAAAAATAAATTTTTTTTCTATATGAAGAGAAACTGGGTTTCGAAGAGTCCCTTAATGGATTGATGCTGGCATACCTTTTATTTTCTTTGAGAAGGCGGATCGAAGGGCCTCGTAGATTGGCCTCACCGGGTATCGCAGGAGGGTTGCCTTGGACTTTCGTCTGCTGAATTGTGCGAAGAAGAACTAGGCTCACCGTCTTAGGGCCCCGATGACTCCGTGCTGAGATTTCGTCCGTCCTGTGATGTACATCATCAGAGCCAGAAACCATTATTCACGAAAAATCACCCAAAAATACTAAACCGAAAAAGGTGGCCAGTTGAGATCCTACTTACTTCTTATACCTCACTTTGCTATTTCAATGAGGCATTCCATGATTTGGTTGGCTAACGTTCTTGATGTATGTCCTACATGCATGTGAGTGAGTCAAAGTGATGCTTGCAGGGGAGCGGATGTGGTCACAACTTTTGTTAATTTAAACAAACTAGAGTATGATCCAGTAGTCCTGGATTTTGTCACAGCTTCGTAAATGCGTGTTTGCGTGTGTATGCAACAACCCAGAATTAGTTGAAAATTTTAGGTTTAATAAAAGGCTTCAGCTTAGTCTGGTCTTCTATTACTCACTGGCTGTACCTGTTCCCTTTCCTTTTCTCTGTCTCTCATTATATCCAGAAGCCAGAGATAGTTCTTACTTAGTTTCCTACATTCATTAGTCTTATTCAAGATTTTCTCTGTTTTGTTAATTTCAATTGGCTCTCTGATCTTCCGTTTAACTGTGAAGTCCCCATATCCTGCAAAAAGTTGGTATCTATACTATTCTATCTGGTGTCCTGTAGCGACCACATGTTCAACCACTTCCGATTTCTGAATCCACAAACCTTTGCTAGCTGTGTTCTGATAGCCTCTTATCTATCGGTCGACAAGTCTCTCCCACATAAACACTACCATATGAACACAAAATCTTATAACAACCTGATCTGCAGAAGGCGTCTGAAGGTTCTCTAAAAGAAGGCATGAATGGGGAAAACGTTATTGTTTATTTATCCATTGTCATGTTTCTCTATTTCCTCAATAATTCGCTTATCTTTCTTGAAAGCTGCAGGATGGTAAAATTAGGAATCTGACCGAAGAGTTGTCTAATTCGTTGTTTTGCCCAAAATAATGGTTTTCCTTCACCCCATTTCTCAATATTTTGCAAATGTTAATTAATCCTACAGGATAATTGTTCTTAACTAAGATTTTTTTAGAAGTGGGTTCGTAGCTTGGTGCGGCGAATGGCAAAACTCACTGATGATGCCAACTACGATGCCGGTGAAACGTTTTAGAATGTATCAAGTCCACGGTCAGATGCTGGGAATCATGACAACTACTATGGCAGACGACTTC